CCAAATGTGTTGGAAATATAATCAGTTGGACCCTGGTTCCCACCCAAGATTTACATTTTTCTTTGTGAAAATGTAGAAATTATTTTTTCTCATTTACCTTCATTTCCTGCATCAATAGAAGCATGTCCTCAAAGATCCCATTAGCTACATACTATGGTCAGCACTGTGGAACCAGAGTGTTACAGCAGAAATTTTATGGGTCTGACTTGAAATAAATGGGTATTTCATCCTGCCTTTGAAGAACAGTCAGGGCTTGGACATTTTCTAACAACTTTGAGTTGTGGTTTCTTAATTAGTAAAGTAGAGACAATAAAGTATATTTCAGAGGCAAGAGTGAAAAGTTCTAATACAGTATAGTGCATGCTTATAGTGCAATAACTTCCTTACCATTGCCAAATTCCTCTGTCTTCTCAAGAGTCTATCAGGTTGGGGGAAAATCCCTTTTATCATATAATATCTACATCTGTAGCCAGGTAAGGCAAGAATACTCTACTTGCTGACAAAGAATTCAGACTCAACATGAGTATCTACTACAATATCAATAAAATCCCTTATAATATCATTATGTGCATATGGAAAGGAATTATGGGTTATTTTCACAGGCATGAGATGCCACTTTTAAAGAGTATACTAGTAAATCAACAACATACAAAAATGATCCATTTTCTTGAATACAGCAAACTGTTCGCTACGCCCTTTACAAAAGGAGACCGATGTAGAACAGAGAGAATAGGGATCATTTGTGAACAATGGCACCCCTCCAGGGAAGAATACAATTCTTCCACCCTGTTCCATAAGCAGAGGCTCAACACCACTTTTTGTATTTTTTCAAGTAATGTTACATTACAGTGTCACAAAGCAACTTCTAGTTAGGTTTCACATAATTATGCACACATGTCAACCTACAACATCAGTGTCAAAGTCTAGTTGCAAAAGAGGTTTGAACATAAAGATCCATAAATATATCTTTGAGAAAAACAGATGCCAACTGCATTTAAAATATTTAACATTAGAAACTCCAACATTCTTATTAGAACTAAATGAAACCATTTTACAAAGTCTGTAAATTTAATGTCTCTTGTAGGCGGGACAAGCATGACAGTAGGATTAAACTGTGTTCAAAGGGTCTTTATTTTTTGAAAAAATATAAAATTTCATATCTTACACTACAAAAACATGTACACAAACCAAATGCACAGAGAGCTTCGAATGGGGAAAATAGAGAAGTGCTCATCCTTCCTTGAATTAACGCTGAGGCGGGGACTCGACACACCCTGAAGCTTTGCATAAACTAAGAAACATTTGGCCGGAAACTAAGAAATCTTAGTAAACATATTAACAAATAAGTGAGTCTAAGTTTTATTCTCAGACTATTAAAAATGAAATGTACATACTTTTAAATAATCCATTTTAAAACTATTACACCCTAAAGACTACAAACATGTTGACCACTGAGATTTCTACTGTTGATTTAGGTGAGCCTTAATAAACATATTCTGCCACCTTCCATTTTTTTTCATTTAGGTGAGAAACATGATATTTGATTCTGATTATTATAAATAGACTCTCTTACAAAAAAAGAGTTGGTGTGTTCTCCTAAGCAATAATTATGTAGTCATTTTGAACATGAACATTCAATCATGTATGTGTCAAAAGACTTTTTCATAAATCAACAAGAAATGAATGCTTTACTTACTCCTCCTTTGATACATTGCTCTATAATTAACAGCATAATAGACAAAAATATTCAATGTAACCAGCTGTGTTACATAGTTACAAAAATGGTGATTTATTCCAGTTATTATAATTACAAATAAAACTAGTTTTTTATTGTTTATTCATTATTATCATCACCATCATCTTATTGTACCTACTTTTTATTTATTTTGAGGTTAACATCTGGAAACACATAAGCAAAGACAGTTTACTATTATACTTAGCTTGCTTTTTTCTTATTTTAAGAAAGAACAAAATGAGAAATGATTTTATTCTACTATGCAACATTATACATCTAAGTAAATTTCTAACATCTGACTCATATAGAATTTGCTATCCAATGCACAATTACAGCCAAAAAATGTCTTCCACTGGTAAATATCTCTGCTTGTGCTTCAGTGAACCCACTTTGAATCGGAGAAAGAATGGTGTTAAAAGTCATTCAACTTTCACATAGAGATTAAATAGCAGACATGCAAACATATGTGTCCAGCTGACATTAACATTTCTTTAAACTTGAGGTATGAAACTATTACTTCACCATTGCACACTGGTTAAACTCTTTTACAAATTGATTTAAGGATGTTCTTAACTTTTGGCAACTGAGACTAATAATGCTGGCCATATTGAAGTTTACATAAAATATTGGAATATAATTTTTACAGTAATCCTATAACCTCAGAACACTGACTTGGTGATTAAAATATAAGAAATAAAAGACCATGCATATTAATATTTTTCAATGAGAAATGAAAATCTTTACATTTTTACATATAATTTACACATTTCAATGCCCAAGAACAACTGATAACATGACATTTTTACATGTGAGCAAATGACAAGATTAGGAAACAAATGATGAGTGATAAAAGTAGTAATTGAGTGACTTCAACAGATATCAGGAAGTTGAAAAATTACTCCTGGCTTGTACCTATTTTTCAAAGTAATATTGAGAAAGACTCATACCCTAAAGATATTGCTACTGATAGTTACAAAATGTTATGTATCACTTGACAAATATGCCATTTATGCTAAAAATGACTGAGTTTATATTTTGTTTTTGGTTGTCTGGTGCCTGAATGAATGAACCAAAAGGATAAGAAATCACAGAATCGAGATTTGCCAAACCTTGCTGTGGGTTACTGCCTCACTGCATTTCACAAAAGCTGCCTCTTTCCTTTGTTCCACTTCTCACATTCATAGTGAGACTGGCACTTCCCAACTGGTGATATATCCAGTGGTGAACAAATATTTTAAAAAGGAATTGTTTCCTTTTTTAGGGGAAGCATATATTATTTGAAAGTCTCTTTATTACTTCTAAAAGCACATTGACATTCCTTAGAAATTCTCAACCAAATGTAGATATGGATGAAAGTTATGTGTCTGTTTAACATTTATCTCAGTTAACTTTGCAAAATGAACATCAAGCTTGCAAAGGAAACAAATCAATTTGATTCAAATTAATGTATAATGTTCCTTTGTGAGAAAGAGGAAATCTACATTGTTACTTGAAATTCTAATCACTTAGATGTATTCTGGCCTGACCTTCCAATCATCTTTGAACATATAAAGCTGGAAGACAATTTAGAAGCTGCATTTCTACTGTGCAACTAACTGACTGTGGCTAGTTGATCAGCACTAAAATTTGTGGTAGTTTCTCTTTGAAGTAATAATCTAAATTCTTACTTTGAAGTTTCTCAATTGATAGTTTATCATTTATAGTTGGTTGTTTTTACATAATTCAATAAAGTGCAACAGTCTCCAATTATTTTGTTCACAAGAAATTAGTTTAGTTAATTTTATGTTTATTGTAATGAACAAATGTCTCTTTAATAATGGTAAAACCTACTGACTTATTGTATCCACCCCTCTCTACTTTTGGAATCTCACTGAATTAGTGAATGTGAAGCATAATTTGTGTGGGAATGCAGTACACTCTAAACCTAATGAGTTATAGCCAAAATTAGACAGAACTCAATATATCATCTGAAAACTCTTTGGAATGTTTTTATTTTCCTTTCCCTTTTTGGTCCATGTTCTTTAGCAACAAACTACTTCACTGCTTGAGTAATAGGTGGGCATGGTAGAAAAAATTATTTCCCAAAAGTTTACTCTCTTATGTGTTAACTTTCAACTAAAATAGGTGCTTGGGAAAGAGAAAAAATGCACCATTAGTAGGATGCACGATATTTCATATGGATTCACTAATCCTGCCTACTCCAGTACACAATTCGGTGATCACGAATAAACTCTCTTTTGTTTAATGTTGTGCTCCTTGAATCACATGTCATTCCATAATTTCCATAAAGTATAGAAATACAAGAATTAGATTCTTTTACCAAGAAGCTCAGTTTTGTTCAAGTTCTAATAAACTTGTAATTGGAATCACAAATGTCAGTTTTCACCAAGCAAAGTATGTAAAGGATACATAGGATATACCTTATATTCCTTAATAAGGCCAATTAAATGATACTTTTAGTTGGTTCATCAAAATAAATTCAATTTGATAGAACTGAATATAAGAGGAGATTTTCAAATGAATAGACACTATCAACAAATAAAACATGTCACCTTAATATAGAGAAAGTCCTGAAGGCAATATATACCTTTGTCATCATTTCTTTGCTGCCTTGGTATCAAATTTTTTAGAGCTGAGCTGCATGAGAAATGGTTAAAAAGGATTAACACTTAGGAGTAATGCTTAGTGCTATGTGCCTGGATTTAACAACATTAACAGAAGTCTGCACAGTTAAATCCGTCTACATCCTGCTATAAATGTGCCCTTCGGTGTCACTGTTGCTTGACAAGGTATTTTCTAGGACTCAGAAAGGTGAAATTTCTTACAGAGGTGCAAGATTAATGGCTAGAGGAACTGCATTGTAACAGATATCACACATTTTTTTTTCTTTTAAAGCCAAAAGGGATTTCAACTTATAGACATTTTTTGTTACTGAATAAGGAGATTTAGTAGCTTTTGGAAACATGACAAAAAAAGACACAAACTTGTGTTAAATTTTGTTTTACTGTGTTTCTTATTTCTGCAATTCATAATCTACTCTGGAACACTTAGTGTTCTATGTTGCTAAAATTAAAAGTTTAAAAATGCAAGCAGAATGGTGATGCATTTGTGTGCAAGCACATACACGCAGAATTCCAACTTAAATTGATCCCTGGGTATACAGAAAATTATACAGTATATATACATTTATTACTTAATAGTTTCTAGAAGAGCAACTAAATTTTATAACACAGAAAAATACATATACACCCTGTATTACACTTATCCTTGATCAAGCAATATGTTTATATACTAGTTTCTATAACTTAACACGGTGTATCAGCACTTTAAAATGACAAAAGAAGGTACCTATTAAGAAACTATCTAGCCATATTGCTCTTCAATACACTTATGTAGATAATTAAGACTAGAAGTAAACTTCAGTAAATTGCAGCGTTTGTTAGCCCACACATGACTACAAAACTTTTCCTTTCAAGTAGATTCTTGGAAGTCTTGAAAGGTGCTGCCTTAATTCAGTCTATAAAGGTGCTGTGTATAGTTATATGTCTCATGTATAAAATGTTGTAGAAGTAGCGGGGAGGATTTCGTTGCTGTAAGATAAGATATAGTTGAACCTCATGCTGTTATTCCAAGGAGGTCATCCTTGTTTCATAAAAACTTGAAGTCACTGGGAGGAAGCTAAGGAAGTTTTTAGTAAAACACTGATTACAAATTCTGTGGCTGAAAGAAATGCTCTCAAAAACATTTAGAAATCACTGAGTTTTCCCTTTTTCCTCTTTTTTTTGTTAAAATAAATCTCAGGGCTTGTTTACAAAGTGCAGAATCATTCATTCAATGAGGTGACATTAAAATGAAGTTACAACGGCACCATCCCATTTACCAGCTGCACCTTCATTTCTTGAAGGCTGTTCATGATCTTCTTCTGGTGACCGACAAGAGTCACTCCAAGCCGTCTCAAGTCCCTGCATGGAGAAAGCACACATTGGATGTAGGTATCGATTCAATTTCTAGCACACCTCGATATTTCATGCTGGTAAAGTGGAAAACACTTTGCAAAAACCAATTCAATGACAGTCCCAATTTAGACACGCCCAGTCCAATTTTCAAAGGCAGGCTCCAGAATTGTACCTTGAAGATTTGTTTGCCATCCAAGAACCATTTGTAACGAGGAGTGACATAATATATATTTGCCCCCTGTTCAAACATGACTATATTCGTGACACAGAGTGTTGAAAAAAACAAATTTGAGCATGCTTACCAATAAATATGTAAATTAGAGGGTACAATTCCACTGAATAGTTTTGAAAAGGTGGACCTGGATTATGAACACACCCTATTTTTGCTAAATATAGTGAGCATAAAATATACTTTCAAAACATCACAGCTAAGCAGTTGAAGACTAAACTCTTCAAATGATTCAGTCAGTACAATCATTTTATGTAACAGATATCTTCAGGAGAAAATCAGCATTGCATTGCTCTTATAGCACTTTCACAAACTTTATTCTTTACTTGGAACTCAAAGTACCAGAATTTGATTCCTTTGCCAAATAGCATCTAGGCTCTACTGGCATTTAGAGCATTTCTAAGATTTCACAGTATCAGAAAGTGTTTTTTTAACTAAGACACTTCCATTCTGATTCTCTTAAAAAAGCTTGTTACTCAAAAGAACATTCCAGATGTTTAGATTTCAAATCAGAAAACATTGTATGGAGCTCAAAGCGAGTGCCCATGGTTTTAAAATGTTATTTTCTAGGATACTCAGGAATTCTATTTCCTAAAATTATATATTTGGTCAAACAATGATTTATACATGTTTGCCAAATAACATTAATTGTAGGAAAAATGACCGTGAACAATTCAATATTTTTAAATGACAAAAACTCCATGTTAGATTTGTTAGATAATTTCTTTAATGAACACATTATGCTAAAAGTATAATGTGTTTTGGCATACAGTAAATATATTAATTTTAGATTGTCTTAGAAGTTCATGAAATTAAGTACAAAGACATTAAATTATTATATGTAAAATTGAATACCTTTGGAAACTCAATGACATCTCTTAATTATCAGAGGATATAATTTAAACAAATGGGTACTTAGGCTTCATATGCATTGGTATTAGAAATAATGGCTTTTTAAATAATGTGTTTGCTTTCTTTTTCTTTTTGTGTTTTTTAATTTTTTTATTATTTTAACCTCTTATGAAATGTTTAGCAAAGAACAAGCATCTAAAAATAAATTATTGATATTTTGGTGGACAAATATTTCTTAGAATGTGACTATGAAACATTGAACCTAGAAATTATCATAGCTACAAGACACCAAAGTACAATATAAAATAATAATAATGGTAAGCATAGAAGAAATTCATCAGCAAACAAAAACCAGTGAAAATTCACTTTGAAGCAAAATCACTATTGTTAGTTATGAAATAGAATATACACTAGGTATACAGACTGACACAGAAATAAGAAAACAAGAGGATTGAGTTTAATCTTTTTTCTTTTAAATTAAATCAGAGTCTTGCCTTGCTCCTGTTAACATTCCAGACTGAATAGCTCTTTGTTGGAGGAGCTGTCTTGTACACTGTAGAATATCTAGCAGTAACCCTGGCGTCTCCCCACTAAACACCAGAACGGCGGTACCACCTCTTACCCTTTGATGTGATAAGAGAAAATGTCTCCAGATACTGTCATATGTCCCCTTAGTGGCAAAATCTCCTCTGGGTGGAAACCACTACACTAAGTACAAAGATAAGAGGTGACAATTAACATATCTTATCCCTATACATAAGAAAAATAGATAGCCCTATGATGTAGATTTTTATTAACCCCATTTTATGGATAAAGAAACAAAGTCTTAAAAAATGTTAATCAGTTGAATAGGGAGGTAACACAGCCAGTGTGTAGCAATAGGACTAAAAAAAAGTAGGATCCTGACACCAAAGTTCATACCCCTCTTATTTATCATTACTCTGAGATATGATTTGGAGCCAAGTGCTGCAAATTGCATACAATTATTTATCCATCTGTAAGATGAGAACTGTGGAGATTTAACATCAAATATGTAAAATTGTAAAAGAAAGAAGATAGTTAATAAAGGAAACTGAACACATACTTCTTTATCTGAGGCTGCAGTAAAAACATCTATACTTCATAAAAATTTCAGTTATGAGCTAAATAGTAATCTTGTTTCAGTTTTCACATGAAACTTAGGAATCATGAAGATTTTTGTAGAGGTAGGTGTTCATGGGTACACACTAGCCTACTTTGAAACTAACTTAGGAAAAAAGGAACTACCATTTCTTAACCTAAAATAATCTCTACTGGAAAATTTAAATAACTAATATTTGAAATAAAATTCTAAAACATGTTTTATCATAGGCTTTATAGACCCAGGTTAAAAAATACTGATGTATTCCCAGATATTTTATTTTTCTTTTTGCTATATCAAATGGGATTTTTTTCTTGATTTCTGCTTCTGCTGATTCATTGTTAGTATACAAAAATGCCTTTGATTTCTGGATATCGACTTTGTATCCTGCTGTTTTGCCAAATTCATTAATTAGTTTGAGCAGTTTTTTGGTAGAGTCTATAGAATTTTCCATGTACACTATCATGTCATCTGCAAACAGTGACAGTTTTGTTTCCTCCTTTCCTATTTGGATGCCTTTTATTTCCTTTTCTTGCCTAATTGCTGTGGCCAAAACTTCCAAAACTATATTGAATAAAAGTGTGATCTCACCTTTAACAGGAAGCTAAACAAGAAAACAAACAAGCAAGCAGAATAAAAACAAAGACACTGAAATAGAGAACAAGGGGACAGTGACCAGAGGGGAGAGGAAAGGGAATTTAAGGGGGGGAAAAGGGGAGGGATTTGGAGGAACAAATATGAAGAACACAGGGATGAGAACTAAGGGGGTGGAAATGGGAGGGAGGTGGGGAGCATAGGGTGGGGTGGGCTGGGATGAGAGAAATAGACAAAAAACTTTACTTGAAAAATAACTAAATAAAATTATTTTAAAAAACATATCTGAATGAAACAGAAAAAAAATGCTGATGTACTATATATGTACTTAAAATGAGTACAATTCAAATGAGTGATCCAATTATGAAGAAAGAGTTTTTAAAAAATAATCATTATAGTTTGTTCTGAAAGACCTGAAAACAAGAATGTATAAGTTTACCTACTGAAAAAGTATGGACTTTGTATATACAATACCAAAACCTTCATTTTGGAGTGTGTAGATATATGTAAGCATGTCTGTACATGTGTGTGTTTTCCATACTCCAACTCTTGGTGGTTTTGTCTAACTGATATCAAATGATTGGTTTAACTTATTTTATTTCTGCTGTTTTAATTCACTGTGATATTATTTTAAGTATAACTTTATTCTCTGAAGAATAACAACACAAGAAAGACTTTGGTTCAATGCTTCATAATTATATTTGTGATGATATTTATAATGATATTGCAAATGAGAATTAAAGTGGAGCTAGAAAAATGTTTCCAGTAAAGGTTAAATAACTTTATTTTTATATTGTTAAATGTATTATTTTTAAGTAGCTTTACTTTGCACTTTTGTAATTTCTAACAATTCCCATTTTACTCTTCGAATTATACAGTAAATGATCAATTTAGCAGTAATGAGGTAAAAGAAATCGGATAAAAGTTAAAGTAGTTTACATTTTTATAAAGTTGGTGCTTTATTTCTAATACTTTTGAAAACTATTTAGAAAAAATGTCATTATGTACTAGTTTATTCATTTCAATTTTCTGTAAGAATATTTTATAACTGAGGAAAGTTTTACCTTTGTCACCTTTATAAATTTTATGCTCATTTTATCATGATCTGTGGAGTCTTAAGTAGTACCCAAAGCCAATTCTAGTGATGAAAATGATTTCAGCATAAACTTATAAATTTAAACATAAACAAGAATAGCATTGTTACATAAAAAATAGTTTGTGTTTTGTCAATGGAGCATGAGTAGTTTTAGAAAAGCTTTAAATATAATGAATGATCATTGTGTTTCATCAAATAGTATTACATAAATTAAACAATGCAAAACACTAATGTTATGAAAATACAGAATAATAAGAGTATCTAGTTGATGCTGAAGCAACTCCTGATTATTCAGGATTTAATTTTTCCATTGTGGATGAGTCATTCCAGTACTCATTCTTCTTCCTTCTGCTTTACACACCTTTTAACCATTTTCCTGGTAGTTAAACCCACCAACATTGGCTGGATAGGAGGAGGGAGAAGATAGATTAGCGAATATGCACTAAATTTTAGTGTTTATCCTTTTTTTTCAGAATTTGGTCATTTATTTGTATGTTTGACAATTTCTGGTTCATTTAGAATAGTCAGAATAACCGGCTACTGCACAAGAAAGATACATTTGCTTTTGGCAAGAGAGAGTTGACTATGGCCTGGGCATGGTTTTCCACAGATGAGACATCATGAGGGTTAGGCTAGAAGTTCCAGATTATTTATGTAGAACACAGGGTTGTAAGTATTCTTATGTGTACTCTAACTGTATAAAATTAGCACAATGATTATATTACAAAGTTAAGAAATCTATTTTAAGTTAGTGTGCAAAATTTTAGTTCGGGGTTTAGGAGACATTCATTTTAACAGTTTATGACCCCATTTTAATAGATGATATTAACAGGAACATCTTCAGCTTACACATAATTGGTATAATATTTAGATTCATTGGACTGTAATCATTTTCTGAATAATCAAAGCTGACAATACAGGTTAAGCAAGAAGTTTAAAAAGCAACTGTAATGCTGTCCTAATTTCAAATCTTTAGATTCAATTTGCAGCTCATCTCAGGCTCACATCCCGCCCCCGATCCTCATCTGCAATACTTCACTGCATTTACATGTCACACTACAGATTGTGCCATTACTGCCAAAACAGTTATTGTGGTATGAGTTTTGTACACAGAATAACAAGCTTTCAGCAGAGAACAGCAGTCAGAAATGCCTAAGGCTGAAAGCCTCTCTTGTTGAACATGTTTTGATTCTATCTAAGATCTCAAAGTTTTGCTTCCCCCCACCCACCCTCACACTGAGCCATAAAAGCATGTGCCGGCAAAATCAAAATCATGAACAAATAATATTAAACCTTTATAAAAGAATTTTAAGTGAAATAAGTGGTTCCAAAAACCTAATTTTTCACTCTTCCATTTATAAACCTGCTATGAGAACAAATTTGATGGTGCGAATTATACATATGGCAATTTGACCTTTTACTTTATAGTAATGATTTCAATGTTTTCCCTAAACATTTATTATAAGTATGAATGTATTCTTCCAGTTTTCAGTTTTTTGGCAATGACACTAGTGATATTATTTTATTTCATTTTTTAAAAAAACAGTTTACTTTTTTTAAACTTTTATTTATTTATCTTTAGAGGGGAAGGGGAAAGAAGGAGAGAAATATCAATGTATGGTTGCCTCTTGTGCGTCTCTGCTGGGAACTGGCCTGCAACCGAGGCATGTGCCCTGACTGGGAATCGAACCACAATCCTTTGGTTTGCAGACCCGCGCTCAATTCACTGAGCTACTCCAGCCAAGGCTATAATATTTTTTTTATTATAATACTATACATACTCCATAAAATAAATATTTACATAGGTAAAGACCATGTGTTAAAAAATCATTACCCAAGTGTTTTATTTTAATTTTTAAAGTCTTGTTATTCATTTATTTTTAGAGAGAAGGAAAGGGAGGGAGAAAGAGAGGGAGAAAAATGTCAATGTGTGCTTGCCTCTTGCATGCCCCCTACTGGGGACCTAGTCCACAACCCAGGCATGTGTCCTGACAGAATCTAACCTGTGACATTTTGTTTCACAGGCTGGCACTTAGTCCACTGAGCCACACCAGCCAGGCCCGAGTGTTTTACAAGGTTGTGTTTTAAGCTGCTGTCCCAGTTCCTTTTACATAACTCCTTAATACTGACTGATGTTATTATTATTTATTTTTGGTGAAGGGCAAGTGAAATGCACAGAAAACCTTTTCTTATACTTTACATTTCTACCAAAATGTAACTTATGACTCACTATTTTGTGCTATTTAACATAATATTTGATTAATATATTCTTACCAAATAGGAAAAATGTGGTAAAAAAACAATAACTAGAGAACATATATTTAGAGGTGCTGAATTCTCCAAGAAATCTGCTTCACTGGAGTGAGTTAACCTTTGCTGGCCCAGTTCCCAGGAGGAAATGTATTTGCATGGGCCCCAGGAACCTGAAGCGATTGACCTATGGGGGACCACATTCTCTGAAGAGGAAGATGTCAGTAAGTCTCCTAATTTCACTTTACACTTATGGTCAGAGTAACTAAGTTCAAAGATGAAAGTATCTTATGGAGGCATTATAGCAAGAAGCAAGAAGCTACCAAAGTAATTACATACAGAGAAGAAATAGAACCAAGTAGACAAAAATTATTGGAGAATATAAATGGAGAACAATTATAAAATAGAAGTTATTAGGACTTGAAAGAAACATACAAAAGGAAGAGAGTCTGGGGATAAGAAAGTAAAAAGAGAAGAATTTAAAAAATAAAAGAATATGAAACAATAATGGTAAATTATGAAACATTTATAGTATTTTGGGGCCCCAATGAGATAAAGTAAAGCAGGTAGTTAGTGTAAAAACCATTACTAGTGGTTATAATTATTCTGTGAAGGAAGAAGTAAAAAAGCAGTAGATGTAAATATATATGTATATGTGCTGATTTAATTAAAAAAGAGACATTGTTTAATGCAAATAATTTTATTGTATATTTACAAATAATCTGACATTGGGTAGAAGAAATACCTACAATATCATTTTAATATAAAATGACAAATGACTGTAATAAATTAAAATGACCATTTTTTACTGGAAAATTAAATAGCAATCATGTAAAAATAGTTTTAAATTATCAGTAAAATTTTCTGTTTCCTATTTTAAATACAGCACAAATGAGCTCTTTGAGTATCTGAAGAAGTAATGGGCCGAGCAAATGTGTCATCAAGGAGATGTGATTTGGTGGGAATGGTAGAATGGGATGCAGTAAATTATTAGAGCACGCTCAGTGGTGATTTCTGGTCCTTTTAGCTATAAGTATAATGGAAGAGAAATGTTGAGAATGTGACATTAACTGGTGATAATGATAGTACCCTGTTACCTTTTTTTGTGGCTGTGCAGTGATTTCAATGATTCTAAGAATACCAGAATACTACAAATGGTGAAAGAATTTCTCAGTGCTCATTTTATGCGCAGTAATGGAATATGGACCATGGCTTACCACCTTAGAATGCTCTACCATGTTCTAATCCATACAATATTTTAACCTTTGAATGCATAGCTACTTTGAAGTAATTTATCATTATATTCATAGGTTAAAACATTATTCATATTTATGCACTCTAGATGGGACCAGTATAATGACAATTAATTTTCACAAATAACAAATATCAGGCTAAAATAATCACATGTACACAGTATATAATAATAAAATACAGACAACTTACAACCTTAAAGAGTTTAATATTTAACTCTAGTGATTTTTATTTAGTAAGAGTCCATTTATCTTAAACGTGCAAACAGAAAAGGGCACAATTGGTTCCACTGAGATTTTACCAGACAACAAATCAGAGGCGGGATCTAATATACCCTTGGATTACAGGAATAAAAGGTGCATCATTTTGAGATTAAATGAGATTCCTGCCTGGGAAGTTTTATTTAAGATGCTGTTTCCTGGGTGTTCAGCATAGCTGAAATTTAAGAATATGTTTTGTTATGTAGGACTAGTCATACCAATTGTGCTTACAGTTTGTTTTGTATTTACATTCATATAACACAGGTACCAATATAAAAACTTTGTCAAAAAACATCTTTTTCACAACATAAAATACCAGTAGTTTGCCAAAGAGCTGTTATTTCAATTATTCAAATATTCAAATGCTGTTTGCTTGAAGCAAAGAAGCAAAGACACTGGCCACAGTAGCATTAACCATGCAGTTGTTAACAATACAGGCTACAAAAGAAGAGGCTTCTTTGAAAGCTGTCACATTTGGACAAAAGTTAATTGATTTCCTTTGACCTCATCTTGGTTCCTGAACAAATTTTCTTGCCCCAGCAATTATGTAAAAATTATCAGAAAAATTACTCACTCCAAGGTCACCTGAGCCACAGCGTCCATTGAACTGTATCCATTTTCCATGAAAATCTCTGTATACCGGCCCATTTTGATTGCTTCTAGCCATTCACCTACTGATCTGTAGGCCCCAGATCCCAGAGGACCATGTTCTGCCAATAAATTAGACACTCTAAAACACATAAAACATAAATATTAAAAGCAACATTTTAATTCTTTTATAATAAATCATATCATAATCTTAGCTCATTGTCAATATTGATAGGTCAATATATAGATATAGGTAGAGGTATATAGCTGTAGATACATGCAAACATGGAGGAAAATACTTTGAAACACAAAACACAAAACCAGTCTATTCAGATTTTTCTATTCAGACTTTTCTATTCATATTTATGAAGAATTATAATGGCCTAAGAAATTAATTTTCTTAATGTAAAACATTAGCTAAAAATTTCATGTAGTGATTTAGATGTATGTATTTCCTACTTCTGTTTTGTTTGTAAAAATAATATGAATACTGCTACCAAATATAGATATGTGGGATGATTTATGCAAAACCAATTGCTTCTAGACTTTCCTAGAGAAACTTGTCCTCATTTAATTAATTTCCTAGGAATTCTATTTTTTTGTCTCATTCTCTCATATAAAGCTACTTGTTAATTCACCTAGGAGTAGTAGAACATGGAAAACAAAATGTAACCCCAAATAATATGAAAACTGAGTAAGACCAAACAAGCCATGAGATGTTTTGAACTATACTAAATTCAAACACTTTGGCCAAATATAATGCTGTGATGATGATGATGATAATCACTTTTGGAAATGTATCTTAAGGAAATAATTGGGGAAAATGGCAAAGAAAGTACATGCAGGATTTTTTTTTGTGGCTACTGAGAATAAACATCAAATAAAATTTAAATGCCCATCACTGCGTGTTTGTTTAAATAAATTTTAACCAGAAGATCTAGGGCACCTTTCTTCTTACTCATGTTCTCTACACTTTTTTCATCAAACTCCACTTGCGTAGTTCCTTCCAAACAAATTATATAAAAATTGCTCTGATTGAGAGAGCAATGGCTTCTATTTTACCAAAATCTGTGATCATGTCCCCCTCAGTAAGATGACTGACCTCTCAGAAACAGCCAACAACCATCTCCCTCTCGAAATCCTACCTTAGCTCAACCCTTCTACCTTTCTGGATCACTAGTCTCTCTTTCTTGGCTACCACAGCATTGAATATTCTTGCTTTCCCCTTAATCTCTTTTGTCTGTTATTCCTTCCTTTCCTAACTTTACGGTTTGAAGGGAACTAAGACTCAGCCCCATATCCTTTCTCCTCAGATTATAACTCCATTCTACTTAGACATTTTCCCAATATTTTGCTTCAACTAGCATCAATTACCCAGTTTTCATATTGCATCAAACCTCTCTTATATTCACATGCCTACATCATTTCTCCATGTCTATCATAGGAATATCACTCCAATTTTTCCAAAGCAATGTCCATCTTTTTTACATCCAATTCTTCCTGAAGTGCTCCCATTAGAGTATATGATACAAGTGTTTGCTCCTCCCTTTCTTCAGTTCCCTCACAATCTATCACTGTGAATACTGTCCATTCTACCTGCCACATATCACACATGTGAATGTTTCTTTCCATCTTGTTTGCTACCACCTGAGCTGAACACATCATCATGTCTTATCTACGCAGCGGCTCTAGCCTCCCAGTTATCCTTCCAAATTGTACCATCTCTCTCCACTCCAAAACCAAAGTTGTTTTTCAATATTTTTATTCTGTTTAACTCCTCTTCCCCACAATAGTTTGTTGCTCAATCTGTATACTCAGCACCTAGCTGTCAGCATGACATAGAATAGATGCATGTATATCTGTTGCATGAGTAAATGGATATCTTATAATGATTTGTAGACATTAAGCATTACAGGACAAAACAGTTGGAGAGTAGGATCTTAAAGTTGAGATTGTGGAATAATTACAATTTTTATTAATAGGAAAGTATAGAATATGACTATGACAAGAAGATTCCAAGGTATTTTAGAGACCCAGACCATGAATTTAGAAAAGGTCAAGGTACTGACAGACACTAAAGCATAATTTGCATGGTTACTGACATCATCAAGTCTTATGCCAAGGGTAGCAATGTAGAGAAAGGGAGTGAATCCAGAATTGACACCTTCTAGAATCAGGTTTTGGGAAAGGCTGAACAAACATGGGTAGTAAGTAGTATAGTCTTAGGCAAAATTAGTTTAAATGGAATTTGGAAGGCTGATTCTACACTTTGCACCCCAAAAAATGTGAAAATTCTTTGTATATTTAAAAACTGCCCTCAAGTTATGATGATGCTGATACAAATTAACATGATATAGAACATAAAAATGGATTTCTGTTTATTTTCTTTATGTCCATTTGTGTCAACTTAACACAATTCAAAAAATTAGATGAGAGAAATGCTTAATATTTTTCATGGCAATAAATAATATAAAAGCAGCCCTGACTGGTGTAGCTCAGTGGATTGAGCATGGGCCTGAGAACCAGATGATCACAGTTCAATTCCCAGTCAGGGCACATGCCTGGGTTGCAGGCCAGTTCCCAGCAGGGGATGCATGAGAGGCAACCACACATTGATACTTCTCTCCCTCTCTCCTTCCCTTCCCCTCTAAAGATAAATAAATAAAATAAAAATAAATAAAAAAACAACATAAAAGCAGATATTTCAGGAACAACATAAGGAATAATTGCTAAGAAGATACATTTTCCAGTTGCCACCACAGAAAATTAATGATCCCTGAAGGAGTTTAAATATTCATTCCTCATTTGTATTTAAAAATGAATTTTGCCTAGTAAACAAATGCCATATCAAAATCATAGAACTTATGTAACTTTATCCACAAAATGTTTCTCATTTAGCTCATGCTAATGGGTGGTCAGTTCAGTAACTGGTAAGACAAATTTTTTTCTTGTAACAATAAAAAATGACCTCAAATGCAATGAAAATAACAATCTGAAAAAAATATTGTAGTACAGAATCAAACTTATTTATGTTTTCAGAAAATAACTCTAAAATTTTTCAGGTTAAATGAATAAAGTATATTCTACAAATATGCAACATCATTTAAATGCATTCATAATAAATATGCTTATTTGTCCACATAAATATTCCTCACAAAATAACTCACATTTGATCAGTAAAGGGTTCCTAAAACAGTTGTCAATATTTATAAGATATGGCAGACTCTAAAATCTATTCTAAAGAAATTGAAAGTAATTATTGATAATATATCTAACTTAAAATGTATCAGTACTTAGTTGTTTTTTCTTTATGGCTTTAATGATGTTAGTTTTCCCCACCCACACCTATTTTGGATCCAAAACACATGAAAATACATGCATTTGAGCCTTTTTTCTAAACACCACCTGAGCTTGGCTACAGTTACTATTTTTCTGAATTGGCATATTATACTATTAGATTAAATATAGGTGTTTTTAAGTATAATTTAATCATTTGAATATCATTCATTGTAAAAGAATAGCTTTATGCAAAAACTATAGTCAAATAAATGTGTCATAGATTTAGAGGTTAACGCGATTTGATTTAATATTGATGGCACCATTCTCAATTAGCTAAATTCAGGAAAATCTCTCAGATCTTGACTGTACCTGCTTGACGAATTAACCAGCGTCTTCAGGCTACTTGGGTTACGTATAAGCTTGTCCAGCATGTTGACGATTTCATCAAACTTGGGCCTGCTATTTCGGTCTTTCTGCCAGCAATCCAGCATTAATTGGTAGAGAGCAGCAGGACAGTCCATGGGGCTCGGCAGACGGTAGCCTTCCTCTACTGCTTTAATAACCTGTGTAAAGCAAATCAGAACCAGTCCCAGCACCACACATTTAGTAGAGAAATCCCTTCATCCCATCTACCTTCCATCCTTTCTTCTGCTTACTCTTGCAGTAACAACCAGCTTCACTATCTCTCAAATCCCCAGTTACTTCCATTTGCTGTGAAGTAAAACTACATAAACAAATAAATATATTATCCCAATAGAAAAAGATAGGCTTTCCTCAATCATTATGAAGAAAATAAATGGTAATCATTTTTGCCTAAGATCTTGATAAAGGATGATTTGGAAAATTAAGTCACATAAAATAAACAGTCTGCTTTATTTATCATTGAATACTGGAATTAAATAGATATTAAATGTTCTTATGATTTCTCTGAAAAGTTAATGTCTTTTTAATGAAAAATTATGGGCAGAACCACATTTTGAAAGTAACAGAGCTGCAATTTTATTTCAAAAGAGGCTTTTGGATGGTAAATGCTGGATAAATCAAAGGCTAAATTCATACAACAATCTCATATATCATTTAATAATGTGCAGGTCTGGCTACTTACTATCATCTACCTATTTCTGTCAGGAATTTGGAGCAATTGTCTAGTAGCAGAGGCATTACAAACATCATTGATTTTAAATGTAACTACGTGTACAAATAACAGTCTAATTTTAAGATTGTTTTATTAAAGACATTTGTAATCTTGCCGATGCTAACAAATTATGTAACTCCAGAAAAGATATGTTCATGTTCCTGAATATAATAATACATATTTTATTAAATTACTAAAAATTAAATGTTTAACACCCCAAACCAATAATGTTGAATATATATCTTAAAATATTTATGTATATTTTCTTAACATTGATAATTAACCACATTTTTCCATAAAGCTTTTGGATTTGATTTGACAAAGAGCAAAAATAAAATGATTAGAGCAGGAAATTTACAGAGATAATTTGAATAACTGGGAAGAAACCAGTCTTTCTAGGATAGAGGAAATGCCATTTGAACAAGATCAGTGACAGATGGAAAGAGGGTGAAGTAGCAGATTCAGGTTATACTTATAACAAGGGGGTGATGAAAGATGAGATAAAGTACATGAGACAGAACAAGTCCAGGCCTCACTCTGGATGGTTGTTGCTGTTAGTTTTGGTCAAGCACATATATGGGGTGATTTGGGGGGCTTTTTAACTTGAGGTAAGTGAGAAACACTCATATGAGGATATACAGAAATCTGGCTGGAGCACAGGAGATATGTGGGCAGATAATATAAATGTGCATGTCAGCACTTGGTCACAACATAAGGCTGGGTATAGTTTATGACATCTTGGGAAAGTCACAAATAAGGGTTCCAGAGAAGCACCAATAGCTAAGTTCTAGCAGACAAATAAAAATCACTCAAGGACTCTAAAATAAATGGTTAAATAAATATTGAATAACTATGAGCAAAATACAATGTTCCTCTACTTATGTTGGCATTATGTCCCAATAAACCCATCATAAACTGAAAATATCTTAAGTTGAAAATGCATTTAATATACCTAGCCCATGGGATATCATTGCTTACCCTAGCCTACCTTCAGTATGCTTACAACACTTACATTAGCCTACGGTTGAGCAAAATCATCTAACACAAAGCCCATGTTATACTAAAGTGTTGAATATTTTATGTAATTTGTTATGTGGATCATTTTTGGCTGTTGAAAAATGGTAAGTCACACCATCATAAGTCACAGACTGTCTGTACCTGAGAGTCACCTGCCACCTTAGTTAACAACTCAAAATCAATGTAAAAAACTAAAAGGCAAACTTTAGTAGAACATATTACAAAAACTATAACATATGGTTAATATATTTAATTCATTTAAAGCTCATGTGTATTGAGAAATAAAATAAGGCAACAGTCATATAAGAAATAATCAAAAACTAAAATCCAGCTAAATATAAATTTTGAGAAAACATATTCTAACTGGTGATATTAAATAAATAAGAAGTAAAAGAAGAAAGTCTCATGTTCACTCTTATATTAATGTAAGTTTTTAATTTATTAATTTATTAGCAATGGGGAATCTTATTAAGACTCTTATTAAGAGTTAATAAGACTCCCCATTGCTAATAAGGACAGACTTGGCCCAGATAATTAGGTCATAAAATTTAATTCTAAATTCATCTTTAAAATTTATGTTTACGATAGATTTAAATCAAAAAAATTTAGATTTATTGTTAGACATTTTGAAATTTATTTTTTTCATTTTTACCTATTTTTTTCCTTCATAGTTTTAGGGAGAAATAAATGGCATTAGTACTTTGGTGATTTATAAAATACTAGACATCTATCAAAGCACAAGTTAAACTGTTGATTTTACCATAAAATTCATAATGTGTAACTAAATAAGTCAGAATATCGATTGGCTTCATTATAACTACTATATCTGTTAATCCAGGTGGTTGAGGAGTGGCAGGAGCCGCTGCAGAGCCCATCAAAGCCCTGTGGTCACTGTACCGTGCCACAGGCTAGCCGTGTCCTGGCCATAGCGTGGCAAGTCTCCCCATAAACAGGACAGCACCCTGTGCTGGAGCACCAGCATCACTGGCAAGTTTTTCTCATTTGGCATCCACAGCATTTTATACCAGTGTGGCATTTATCCCTCTGAAGCTTTTTATTAGAGTGCAGAAATATGGACCCACCTTGCTTGTAACTACTGATTCAGAGCTCATGAAATATCTAAACAATGTGGTGGAACAACTAAAAGACTGGTTATACAAGTGTTCAATTCAGAAACTGGTCATAGTCATCTCGAATATTGAAAGTGAGGTCCTCAAAAGATGGCAGGGTAGTGTTGAATGTGACATGACTGCCAAAGATGACAGTATACCCAGAGAAAAGTCTCAGAAAGCTGTCCTCAGTGAAATTTTCTCAGTGATCAGACAGATCACAGCTACAATGGAAGTCAGCTACAGTTCGTTTTGTATTCCACTTGTTAGTTTTAAATGGGGAAAATGTTATACTTTACTGAGCTGTGCATAATCATTCCCTTGACTTTCCAGAGAGTTGACATGATTTTTGGCCTACTGTTCAAAAAAGAACCTGCAGATGACTTTGTCACTGCCATGTCATTTTTTTTGAAGGTTGTAACTAGATGAGGAAACTTTTGCTATAAAGCTAAATGCCTTTGTAATCAGGCATTTTTGTTGAGTAGCTTGACTCAGAATTTAGGTAAATATGAAACAGCAAAAAAGTCTGAATATTCACAATCATTGTTTTATAATAATTCACAATAACAATGTATATATATATTATTTTGTAAAGTAACTGATAATTCACAATAACAAAATACTGCTATTAGTTTTTTATTAGTCACTATTTAATTTGTCATTGTTAGTCATTATTAGTCATTAGTTTCTAATAGTCATTTATTCAATTTGTATAGTTTCCATGTTGAAAAAATCTTCAATTATTTGACCTAATGGATATAATTTACACTCACTATGCTATTGATCTCTTTTCCTACTCTTTAAATATTGGTGATACAGAATTCTTATGACTTTCTGTGTTTTATAAAATCAAGCTTTATAGATAATGGTAAATAAAGTTAAATGTATATGTTTAAAAATATCTATGCTCCAGCTGGTGTGGCTCAGTGGAATGAATACAGGCCTGTGAACCAGAGGGCTGCCAGTTTAATTCCCAGTCAGGGAACACGCCTGGGTTGTGTGCGAGAGGCCACCGCACACACTGATGTTTCTTCTCTTTCTCTCTCCCTTCCCTCTTTAAAAATAAATAAATAAATAAAATCTTTTAAAAAATCTAGATGGTTGAGATGAACAAAGAAAGAGAAAGAAAGAACCAGAATTTTTATAGACAATGTTAGATGTTTTAGATCTGAAATATTATCATAAGCTCTGCAATTTTTTGACCTTGTCAGGTAAATCAATAGTGTAAGCACCATTTACATCATGTGGCCACTCCTTCTAAAATATAAAACCACAATACTGAGTGTCCAACATGGCTTTATTCATGTGGTGGCAAGTCGATTCTGTTTGGCCCTTTCCAGCAGAGAAGGGTCAGTGAGTGCAGCTTTTCAAGTGTATATAACTCATATTGATATTGTTGGCTTGTTTCTGCTCACAGAGCCTCACACAACATTACAAGGCTGTAATGTTTCATTTTCAAACACAGAGTCCTACTTGGCACACCATGCAACAAGGTTACCCACTTCAGAGTGCAGGGTATGTGAAAAGTATCACATACTCAGTAGTGTGATGGGAGACATTTAACAAGTGGCTCTTCTTGCTGTGGGTATGTTTATAACATCTTCTCATTTCATGTGTAATATAAATACTCCCTTCATATGAATTGCAAGCTACCAACATAATCTCATTTGAGTTGAAATGTTATAAAGATATGCTACTTGATACAAGTTGGTTCTGGCAAGCACTACACAGCTCATCACCCTGAAACAATTAGCTTCACTCAGAGTGCCAGAAGGCCTTTTAAAGGCTGAAGCACCAACTTGGAGGCAACACACTGAAACAAGTTGGTGCCATCATTTGGGATGCAGTACATGTATTAAATTGGAACTTCTCTACTGTGCACCGTTCCCAGTGGCTCTGACCAAGGGACACAGAAAGGGTTCCATCAGACTATCAGTTATGGCTGCCATCAGGACGACTGGACTACTTGTACCCAGGTACCAGTGAAGAGAAGGGGAGTCACCATGATGGCAAAAGTAGTTGGCATTGAGCAGTAGGAGGCATTAGAGCTGCTTTCACACAGCTGGGCAGGGAGAAGCACATGTGGGACCCAGGTGGCACCCTTGGGGATGTCTTACTGTTTTTTTTTATAACAACTGTGTCCTGAAAATGTTTGCCCTGAGAGGGCAGATTGATTCAGACTACCAGGTAAACTATGGTGATATGCCAAACGACAGAAATTCAGAATAAATAGCAGAGGAAGGAGAGGCTAAAACCAGGTGTAGTCCTGAGAACAATAAAAGCTATAGGAGCTATAGTGTAG